GAATCGAGCACAAAGATGAATAGTACCCTCCCCTTCAAAAAGCCAGAAAGTGTCGGGTGCAGACCATACACCACAAGTGACGACGGCCTCCAGAAAATGCAAATGTTTTTTGCCAATGAAATGATTAACCTGTTACAGTTGTATTCGATCAGTTGACAGTAATTACAACTATCATTTACTAAAAATCAGCTATCACTATGAACCACTACTAACCAGATTTACTTTGAGGCCGTCGTCACTTGTGGTGTATGGTCTGCACCGCACAATTTCTGGCTTTTTGAAGGGGAGGGTATGTATGTTTACATGAAATATAATCGATATGTATGTTTTCTATGAGGTGAGGCACCGTCGAGCACATCGCTGGTGTACCGATCCTCCACAAACAACAACCGCTGATACTTTTACCCTCAGATTTAACATTCATTCTCTATGGACCGTCCGTTGAGAGGCCATCCTCAGAGTCCGTATTAGAGGAGAAGCGCCCGAATAAATTTTCGGTTCGAGTGTTCACGGCAGATTCGTGGGGAGCGGGATCCCTCATATAATCGTTGCTTATTGCACGCGAAAATTTCTGTATCTGACATGGCGTGAAGTAAAAAAAATGATGTCACATTGAAAACATGCATATCGATTGGAGTCGGAAACCATCAAATCAGTCAGTCATCATTCAGCAGCAATACTACGAGTTGCACTGGTTGTTGATCCTGTTACCACAGACCGTGACCTGTACGCCTGTTTAAAAGCGCCAGCTGTTATTTGGGAGTCTGTTATTCGACACCCACACGTTCTTCACGTCATGGTACTTTATAACCACAAAAATCCTAATACTACAATCTTTTCCAACATTAATCTCCACTTTCTCGCTCGAACTCCTTTCCAGTCTTTTTTCTTTCGCTTCTTTTTTTGGCCATTTACCATATCATAACTTGTTATTGCCCGCTCCTTCATTGGCACTGGCTCACCTTCGAGTGCAAATAACCGTGGAATAAACAAATAAATAAATAAGCAGCATTTCATTCCTGACTAGGTCCATATTTCGTTAAACAGTGATGTAATAGTAATACAAATCCTTGAAATTGATCATCAGGTTTATACCTAAAATTTCAAACGGACGTTTTGACTAACTATTTTTCCCAAAGCTTCCAATATCCCTAGGGATAAGTAGCGCGAAATTTCCACGGTAGTCGTGGCTATGTGGTCAAAAACTCAAGTGCAAAACCCAAAAAAACCATAGCTTCAACTATTCCGGTCAAAATCTGCCTCAAAAACGCTATTTCTTCCCCAACAAAATTACCATTCCAAACGAAAACACCTCACCATTATTACTGAGCAAGAATGACGTGATGTGGCTAATGCTTAGCCATTTTCTTAAATTTGTAAACTACTAAAAGACTGATCTCTACCGCCTCCTAGTTATTTGTCTGTGTTACTTGCCTTTTTTGCACCGTTTCGGAACCCCCTATCTACCAACTACTGAACGACCTTTACAGCTATCACGTCGCAGCGTGGTATACAAAAAAGAGCTTTTTTCACAAAGCCACGCTAATCAATACTGGTCGGTTTCCCCTTCGGTGATTAGCACTTTAAAGGACGCACAGTGCTCCACCACACAACAAAGGCGGTGGTCTTGGCGGGAAAGGCTAAGTGACGCCGCGCATTACAGTAATCCGGTTTACGGCTGCGCAGAGAATTCTTTGATTTTTGAATTGCTTTTTGTAACTTTTTTGTTTGGAGAAGGTTTTCATGGTACTGTTGTAATCGAATTCGAAATAAGCTAATGGAGAAATCCGATCAGATGTTGTGCTAGCCAATCTCTTGAAATGTTGTACTGTTTAGGGTTATTTCTGATTTTGGGACTAGTTCCACTACCAGTATTTTTTTCCACAACACATAAAGTTTTTTTGTTGGTTATATTAAGAAGTGCAATAAGCATAGCTGAGCATATGTCTTAGTTACAGTCGCAATTTTGAAGTTACGTGTATTCAACTGCGTCGCGTTTTTGCGTTGTTTATTTACATTTTCCTTTCCAACAATTTTTAGGGTATTTTCTAGATAGTCTCAAGGCTCTTTTCATTTTTCTTCGGTTTTTCGTAATCTTCCTTTTTGTAACTCCTGTTCTATATTCAACTCAATTGATTTCAGTAGAGGTACGTCTTTTTCAATTGTTCTTTTTGTATCGTACCATCTGCTGCTATTTACACATGCTGCTTTCAGTACAGTTATGGATGCCAATGATAGTAAAGTAACTCAGAATACCGACGAGACTGTCAAAGAAAACGGCCACTTCAACAAGGGAAACGAGGACAAGTTGGTGGTCTACTTTTTCAGTACTTCTTAGAAATATTGCGCCGAACCAGGATAATTTGTTACTTCAGTAGAGTAGTGCGCCAACCATAGCAGTGTTATGCTCTTGGAATCGTTCCTTTTGGGTGTTTATTCGAAATTTCTTTTGCACTAGCCACCGGGTTTAGCTACTCTCAATACGGTTTACTGCGTCTTGAAAGTTCTTGCTCGCACAGTTTGGTTAATACTTGCTACTGTGGTTGTACAAGCCATCATCATGTAATTATGATCATCTAAAGGGTGCAAAACAGCTAGTGAGGAGATTCGCTCACAAGTAAAAACATGGATTCGGGGTTGGAAAGTTGATGCAACCTTCTTTTGGCACTTATGGGCGTTTTTTTTTCGTCCTGGTTTCGTCTATTCAGATAACTTTACTAGAAATATTAGTACATTGGAACATACGCTCCATACGCTGTTTTTCACTAACTGATTTGAGAGGTCGCGTTTCCGGAAAGAGGTTGTGGTCTTTGCTTCAAGAGCATTTATCACCGCCACGCTTGATTTTTGTTAGATCTGTCGGCATCTAATTGAGGCTTCTTTTGTTTCTCGCTACTAAGAATCACAATGGAATTGCAATTCTTTGTGGAAGTCATTAGATCAGATGAGTCCCAATTTAGTAAGTGAATGTGACTCATGTTTTTTAAAGCAGTTATATCATGATATCTGCCGTACCACATTTCTTAAGCATCTCATCTTTCCTTTTGTCCCTCTCTTCGCTCTTCAAAGGTGACTTGAATCCTGCTTCAAACTCAATTTTAGCGCATATTCCTCAACTATAGGTATTCTATCACATTGCCTAATGTCGTTGCTGTTGAAACGAGTTGTTTTAGGGGGCATGCATATTTTTCGCTAGTGACTTCTACGAGCTTTATTCTTTTCGAGCTCTCTTCTTGCCCTAGCGGTCCAGACATACCACTGTAAAGTGTGGTGACGCCTCAGCTTCAGGTAGTTAGTCGGTCCTTGCGGCAGTACCGGTCTGCACAATAGCTATCGATCTAGGTTACTTCTGTTGTGATTTGAAAGCGTATAGCATACAGCTTTGCTTTTTTAGTTTTCCCTCCATTTTGGTAGATTCCCCATTCCCTTGCTCAAAGATTCCGAATATGTTTCAAGGCTTATGTTGTATAATACTTCATATCTGACCGTCTGATTAGGCCGTTCTACGGACTTGACATGGCGACCGCCGCACTTGATAGAAGTCGCGCGGATAAGATACCAACACGCTTTGCTGGAACCAGCAAGGCAGCCCAGAAGCAGCTTGTCCACGCTACTTCCATCAGGTGCGGCGGTCGTCACGTCATTTTCGGTGACACGCCTAATCAGACATCCTAAAGCTTAACGTTATGGACTGTACCTTCTGTTTCGCTTAGTCTGAGTGGACTTGAACAAGAGATGGTTTCACTGGAATAATTCAATTCATAGTCATTCGGTAGCTCAATCGTAGTCAGAAGAATAAGAAAGAAGGACTTTGATTCATAACACTACTGGTAAGGGACTTATCGTAGTACGAGTATCAGCGTTCTCCAAACCGTCGCAGCATTCTTTATAATTAATTAGAGGCGGGTGATATTTCGTTGATGCTGTGTGATTTCCACCATTACATAAAGAGCTGTGGCGCATTTTGGCTGTTGCAACTTATTACAGTGTCCTGCTTCTGTCAAATAACACCATTTTCATTTTTATTAGGCTGATACGCAAAAAATATACCATTAAATGGTTTAGCCCTTTGGTGGTTACGAAATTACGTAGTTTCATTGCTGCAGTGTAATTCTGTAACTCATTCAGGAAGATCTTTGTTGGGGGAATCGCATACGATGTGCTCAATGAAGATCTCACCAATCATTTCCAACAGTTTGGAGAGGTCGCTCAGGCCCAGGTGAAATTCGACCGAGTCACTGGCCGTTCAAGAGGCTTTGCCTTTGTCGAGTTTGCGACTGGAGAGGGTTGTAAGGCAGCACTTGCCGCTCGCGAACAAACCATCAAGAACAAGCAGGTAGGCAGCGAAAATAACGGGTCTCGTTTTATTTTCGTTGTTGTTTATGGTTATTGTTGCAGCATCCTAATTGTGCATTTTCTCATAGGTCTGGTTTCAGGTTGAAGTGAAGCCCGCGAAGTCGAGAGAAAACAAGAAAGTGTTTGTTGGTGGTTTGCCATCCGACTACAACGAGGGCGAGCTCCGAACTCACTTCGAACAATTTGGAAAGGTTGAGGACATTGAGTGGCCTTTCGACAAGCAGACCAAAATGCGCCGCAACTTTGCGTTCATCGTTTTCGAGGAAGAAGAGGCAGCTGATAAAGCTTCGGCTCAAGCGAAGCAAACCTTCGGAACTCGCGAATGTGACGTGAAGAAAGCAGTGCCTCAGGGCAAGCGTTTTGCTGCGATGGGTGGTCGTGGCAACGGAATGCGACCCTATGGTGGAAGAGGTGGTGTTAATGGAGGAGCTGCTTGGTATGGAGCCTGGGGTCAGATGGGAATGCCTTATGGTGCAGGAGCAGCATGGGGAGACTGGTACGGTGCAGCAAATTCCTTCTATGGTCAACAGAACGGTGCCGCAGCGTACGGAAATGCATATGGTGCAGCAGGTGAGGTTTTGCATTAACTTTTATTTCATTTTTATCGTTCAGATATCCTACTGTTATTTTTATGTTCACATACATGTTTTTGCTTGCGCTGTTTTTACTAGCAAGTAGCAATGCGGTAATGATGTCTTTAAGGTGCGGGATATGACGCGTTCCAACAAGGAGCTCGTCAGAATGGTAATGCAACCGGACAACGCTATCAACAGGCTGCTCAGCAGCAGTACTGAACTCAGACAATGTGCATGCTTCAAAAATAACAAAAAATATTAAAAATAGTCCTCTAAACTCAACACGCGGTTTCTTCTTTTCTGGCAAATGACTAATCTTCATTGATAGCCATTATTATCATCATCATAAACGCCAGCTTTCTAGATTTGCCTATAACTCCCGTCAGAGTGTTTTCCAATTCTAGTGTCGTGAATGTGAACATAAACTGAATCATCTAGATTAAGGTTTCTGTAGCGTGAAAGTTGGTCATTTCCCACATTGTCTATGCTCCACGTTGCACATCCCCATGTACATAATTGCATATCGCACCTAGCTCCTTTAAGACCTCACCATTTTTGTAGAAGATCCTTCCTAAAATCATTTCGGTCTTTTCCGGAGTTCAGTGTTCTCTTAACATCTCTCTATGCTCTTATGTCATTGAGACCACTTAATTGTTTCTATTCCACACTCGTATTACTGGCTTATGAGTCCACCTTATTGTTTTATTTCTTCCATGCTCCCCGTTGGAGGACGCTAAGTACTGCCGCTACCTATCCTCTCTTTCTCTTCCACTCCACGGACTTCAATTTGTTGTTGCGACTCAGCCATCGCCGGCGATTGTTCTCTTTATTCTGTTTGTAATGACTGCCCCAACCACGCACGATACGATGCTTGCAATGAATCGTATGGGATCGTGGCGATTGTTATGAACTGTTATCCATTATACCTGGTGGTCAGGCACATAATCTCATTGTTGTCGTTTGCCGCTTGTTGATTGAGCTTGTCTCACGTGTTATTTCATGAACCGGTTGATTCCACGTCTATTTCATGGTGCTCGTCACGCCAAAAGTTTTTGTTCGGCTGTCTTGTATCTGGGAAAGACTGTTTTCGATTTGGTTATGAACTGCCACTGTTGATAAGTAGAACAATAAACCTTTGGAGGGCTATCGTGCACATGTTTACCATTACAGGCTTCATCCTACTACCCCTACATGGCTATTTGTTTTCGATAATATCGCATCGTACCGTGCATTCGTTCACTATTTGGGCCTGATGGGGGTGTCTACAGTTGTACTCTTCAACATTGAAACCCACCACTAGTGCAAATATCGATCTTTGAAGAAAGGAAATAATGGGCAGGCGGAGCCATCTGCTGTGGTCTTGATCGATATGCACTTTAATGCGGGCTCAGAATCGCTTAAGAACGGCGACTCAGTCGAGGGAAATCTATCGCAAGTATCAAGGCGTGAAATGCGTAGCAGAACGAATGACTACACCCGTCATAATCTCTCAATGGTTTCAATCCTGCGCATCATGTCGTGGAACCAGGCGAGCGAAGTCGAAACATTCCAGACGACATCTTTCAAGAAAGGCCCTCAGGCAGGGGGCAGGGTCAACCCTATCGTTGTTACTTTTTGAAAAATTTTTACGACCCCCCTCCCCCAAGGTGGATTTGATACGACCCCCTTTTCCACACCTCGACCACCATCGTCCTCTATATAGTATTTAATTCTGTACCACTCAACCCACCAAACTCCGCCCACTTTTTCCTCCAAAAATGCCGTCGAGCGGGGCAGAAATATCCACTATATCTCCCCATTTTACGCTCCTACCTTTACCAGCTTTTATATACCAGATTAGTCCCCCGTCAACCGCCGGGACCTTCCTTTCCTGCGCAAGCTTTCTATCCTCCGCTATGGTCCCTTCCTCCTGTGACACCAACACCTGGAAGTGACGCGTATGCAACACAATGGTGTTTCATACAGTAGAAGGGACACAATCATGATATGACGGTAGATTTTTCGCTTCCCTTCCTCATCCTCCCTTCCTCTCTCCACTGCCCTCCAGCTGCCACTGCAGCACCATGTGGAATGAACGGAAGTGTGCTAAGCAGGTGTTTATATAGCCCTAAGAGTGTTATCACAACTATCCTGCTACAAAACATTGATATCTCAAATCCTGTAAGCTACCCGATTTGTTAGCGGTTTGTTTATCCCATGAGCTTCCTTCTCACTCACTTCATTTTGCGGACGACACACAGACATACATACATACATACACACATACACACACATACAGACATACAAACCGACACACAAAGTTAGCGCTTTATAAAATAGAAGGATTCCGTATTACTTTCTATGGATACATTATACGCGCGCTGAACGGCAAATTTTTATTCTGTGTGGGTCCCCCCTCAACTCACCCAGCTACCTAAGAACCTCAGTTTCATCTCAAACTTCCATGTGCTTCCAGAGCGACTGAATACTGGTATGACCCTCTCCCTACCTAAAACAACTCAACCAAGTTACGACCCCCGTTGGTTCTAGCTAACACATTAGGCTGACCCTTGCCTCAGGGCGCTTGCCGATGACAATGGTGAAGCGTCTCATATGCGTCCTGGCGAACACTGTAATCTCGGCTCTATACAAGTGGGGTGGGGTGGGCACGCCCAGCTTTTCACGCATGTCAAGTGACTGCCCTCACCCCCCCCCCCCCCTAGATTGGCTACACTCCCCCTGGCTCACGAATTCCCCGATTCTCGTGACAGTAGCGGGCAGCAGTTCCCTTACATACATTTCTGTTCAAAAAATGCGGCGTGCCCACCCTACTTGTATAGCACCCTAATCTCATCAAAGCTGGTCAAGGATTCTTCAAATGGAGTCATGAAACCGAACAGCGCTGCTTTATTGGTCCGGACCCTCAGGCAAGACGTTTTTCCCAAGTTTACTTCTTCGCTGCCATCGGGAAAATTCAACATGTCTTATACTCGTTATTTCATCGAGGCTTGCTCCTAGTTACCTGTATAAATAGTTCGATGAACTCTGGGATCATTGCCCATGACTGCTCATATGGTCGTAGTGCAGCAACTGGGCACTTTTGCGTAAACATAGGAGCAAATTTCCCTGAAGTGCAATTTCAGTTCATCAGCAGGAGATTGGTTATTGGAGAAGTGACATGGATTATCCACATTGCTGAAAAGCGAAGCTTCAACAAGCTACTCCACCGATCCCGTGACCTCGCGCCCCTACTCCGTACTGCTACCAACTGCGCCACTGCT